TTTCTATTGTATCTAGTGCTAGCATCAGAATCGAGGCATTGAAAATTATCGCTGGTCTGTTGACGCGTCACTACGTTGCTGATTTTCTGCAGAACTGGTAGGTAGAATGGAGAAATCGCGAATTTCAGTGGAACAAGTTTATATAAGTTTGTAGCTCGAATTGTTTTCTGTCAAAATTATCTTAATTTGTGTTAACTGAAGGTTTTCGCCTGTATATTCTTTCCTTGTCTTCTGGTGACTTCTTCTTGGCAATATAACGTTAAATCTTATAAAGTCTCTAGTCTCCATGTTTCTTTCAGGTCTATTTATAGATTTGCTTGATAAAGTTACCATTTCAACTAGTACTTGGCTCGCACTCAAGGTGCAGTGATAAAATAGATCTGAACAAAGAGAAATCGTTTAGATCCATTTCTGAAGCATAAGACGCGAAGCTTGGATTAGTGTTGACAGCTTTTTAATAGCGGTCATCCGGATGTTGGTCAGATCCATGCCATTGCGGAATGGGACGTTTCGACACCGATCGATAGTCGTTGATAACTTACAGTACTGTGATGCGAGTTTAAATCTACATAATTACGATGAGGTCATCGCGACGAACTGTTACATCGAACTCGCCGTATTATATATCAATGAGAAGCTCTCCCTGAGCACAATGTGAAACTTTATTATTAGTGAGTACAGTGCTAAACAGTTGTCAAATTGGTGAAGTACCGTTTTGTTTTATGATTGTTTTGATTAAGCGAGTTCATTAATTGTGTTATATTATTTCGTTATGCCTAACTTGATGATCTTTACGACTTATCATGTTGCATATAATTGAGAAACTCACTGAGTGCACAGTGCGAATCCATTGTCAAATCTATGAATTTCAAATATTTCTGTTTAATATCATGATTCCATGTAATAACTGCACTAGGACATTTCCGTGTGCGAGAAAATTTTTATTCATTCTTTCCAAAGTTCAGTTCAAACGGGTAATTGCGTTGCCCAATTATTTCACAAAATTTAAATTTGTTGATAAATTTGGTTTAAAGTCGAATGGAAGAACAACAAACTGACATCTAAAGTAGCTTTGTTTATATAGCAAACAGTTCAGTTCAGTTTGTACGCCAAATATTTACAATGCTAAAGACAATTCATAATCATTTGATTGTTAAATGATGAAACTTGTCGGGACGACTGCTTCGAACGTTGAGGAAGCTGCGCAACATGTATCTGCATGACTTTATTTGAAGCAAAATGCACTGGACTTCTCACCCTTCCAAATGACGAATTTCGTCGTATGTCTTGATTGAACTGAGGTCAGGATTTTTCGTTTGGGAAGCACGCCCTTGGGAAAAGCAAGTTGCAGTCATTTCTTGGTTATTTTTCGATAAAAAGATTTTTGGGAAAATGGAACGATTTAAAAACAGATATGGCATAAAGATTGGCGTTACTTTTTGGAAGATGTAGTATTGATCTTTGACAGCGAAGAATTTCAGTCAAACTACGGGCACCTGGGTCATACAACATCATAAGCTGTCGATGACAGGCAATGTAACCAGTATTTAGTAGACGCTGACTTTTTGGTGACCAGAAAGAAGCTAAGGCAAGAGTTAAAAGCATAATTTTCCCAGCCACTGGAGATGGAAGGATTTGGCCTTAGCGAATGACACAACGTGACCAACAGCATCATCCAACTGAGCTCGAGAAAATTGGCTGGGAGCTTGTCAGTTGGAAAAGCTGAATTTATTTAAATATGATAAAACAGCGAAATAAATAAACAGAAATTTGTACAGGAAGACGAATGTACAAAATGAGGCCTTTCTTGTCAACTTCGATGGCTGCCATTGCTCTGCGTTGTACTGCGCTATAATTAGCTTGTTTGCTGCGCCGTTGATAGAATTATTCAGTTTGGTATGCTATCAGAAAAACTGTCTGCAGTCAGGGGTGAAATATGGAAGGTACTGTTACCCATAATAGAGTCGGCGAATTGAGATATTCCAGAGCTACAGTATATATCCGGATAGTTAATACGGTGAAATTTCCACAGTGTCAATGTACCACGCAATATTACTCGCAAGTTTCCAGTATGAGCAATGTTCCTCATCTTTTTCTGACGTGAATTAAGACCGACTCTAACAAAATAATATGTTATAAATACGAATTGTTCTACCAGCTCACAGAGATCTGTAGCATCACTTCCTTTGTTCTTTGAGACATAGAAGGCACTTAGGCAGTAAGGTTTTCTGTAGTATTTGACCATCTATATTCCATCGATTCATATCTCATGTTGATGCCGGTTTACCATGTACCACTAATGAACCATTTGTATTAATGATGCTTTTACGGTGGTCAGAACTAATCCTAGATTGAATGCCGAGTTTAATGAATAATAGTAAGAGGATTTTGATTGAATAATTTGTATCCAGTAAGGTATTTTTTCGTTCAAAATCTGCTGAGAGATGACCGTATATTCATCGTGGAGCGATGGCCTGGTAGAACGTCTGTGAGCAAAACGGTGGGTCATATTTGTAACTTAACTGTATGTTCCCGGCTTTGGAACTTATGCAAAATATTGTTTGTGCGTGCGGCGAATCTGATATACATAACAGAATTTTTTTGGTAAGTGAAGTGATAGTTTTCGGTTGTTCGGTAGGTTATCTGCGCAGTGTAGTTCGTTTGGAGCCAACAGGCCCCCGATAGACTGCCATTTTCTTTTATGTGCAGTAAAATTGTTTTTATGCTGTTTTCCAGCGTAACTGCTTAAGTATATCACCATTTACCTATTGTACATTTAATGATGTAAGCTTTAGATTTACGCATAGTGATCTTCGCACGGGAAAATATAATCTTACTAATATTACTTTTTTTCATACATTTATCGCGAATTATTCAAAACCAAATACGCTAATATTACGAGTACGGCGCTGAATTTTTGATTTTTTAAATCCGTTTTTGTATAAGTTGATTTATTTAAAATAAACTGCTTTCTAATCAACAGCGTTCAGTGTTTTTTCAGGAAAGTGACCGCTTCAGATACGGTGGAACGTTCGCTTCGACGAGGAAACGATGCTGAAAGCGAAATAGTGTTGCGAATCGTGGTGTTGATGTCCATTCAGTTAGGTCCTGAATACGGTTCTGATATGACCGGCATTGTCAGCTTGATGAGAACCATTCTGATTGATTCGAAAGCATCTCTTGCTGTGCGTTGTGCTGTAAGTAGGCATAATTTTTTACTTATACAACATTGTTCAGTCGATTTGTGTTTTTTATATTAGGTTTTGTTTCTCTATCTGTCCTCCTGCTTCTCGTTTCGTGTAAGTTCCGTCGGATGTAACTGAAATACATTGACCACTTTCATTCGATTACGGTATTTTATTGACAAATATTAAGTAGTTTCGAAGTTTGCGCCGTGGGATTTTAAGAGTAATCGCATCGCAACCCTGTTTTTAGATTCGTTTATTGTTTTATCGACTTATAGATGTATATCACTCATGACGCAGATGGTATGAGCTCGACAATTTTTTAGAGATGGAAAATAAAATTATTACAGGTAGACAACACAAAATGAAGGACAAGGCCTATTGGTTCATGTTTGTAGCCTTCCATTCGTTTTTTGGTTGTGGCTACAGCAGCATCAGGAGTTATGCCCGTGGTTTCCGTATGTCTGTTGTATAAGCTCCATCGACTATGCTGCAAAGCGCAGTACTGCAAGGTTTTTAATGTATTGGAGTCATTCGTTCTTAGATTTCCCGGTCACAGCGAAATTCATTTAAGTGAACCCTAAAGTATTGGATACATTGCCAGAACCCTGGATATAACTATAAACAGGTATTAAACAGTAAAACCAATCGCGGATTATCTTGCGTAAATAGCCGAGTTCTTTCCTTTTCTTCTAGGTATCTCCCGACGCATTATCTTATGACGAAAATTACTACGTTGTTGCTGTTTAATTGTGAGTTTAATGTGCATCATAGTTTTCTAAGCTTCTGATGTGAAGTCATCATATGTACAGAAGGACCAGTATACTCGTATATTGACTTACACAATGTCTGCTTAATTCATAAGTTTCCGGTGCATTAGATTCTAAGCTTATTATAAGACATATTTTGTACAGCATGACCAGTTACTGTATTTATACTGATCTCTGTGTCTGTTTTTCAACATGACAAAAATCGTTCCGAAGTTACTGCTTCTAGTAATTTTATAATGCAATCAGTTTCTTACGTTCTGAGTTATATTTGATTTGTTTGCAAGGAGTTTTCTTTTTACTGTCGGAATGCGGATCAGACATAAGTCGGAACATCTGACTTATTGTATATTCAGATTGACAGATTATATTATCATAATATGATATGCAAAATTTCACCCCGGTATTTTTGACTTACTGGCCTTGTTAGTTTCGATGCCATCCGTAGGAATCTTATACATTTGTCATTGCTCTGGAGTTACGCGGCGTACTTCCATTGCTTCTGAAAGCCTAGGAGGCGTTTCTAGCAGGTCGTACGTTGCATGGTTTTATGCCTGTAAGTAACGTCAGTTAAGTTTGTGCTTTAACATGAGTGAAGTGATTTCGCTCCCAAGCACCGACACCGACGGTTCTTTAAAACACTGTGGTCGTAGCATGGGAAAGCGTTTACCCAGATTTGTTCGTATAGTTGTTGGGGCGTTGGTCTGTCGTCTACTTTCAGGTGTAATTAGGGTCCATATATGTCGTCCTTCTTTTCATGAAATTAACTGTGAGGCATTGGTCGCGATTTGCGTACGATCAGTCAGTAGTGCCTTATCTTAATGGCAGAGCCTGCTACTATGTGGAAGGTATAAAGCATAGTCGTGTTTCCTTCCGCAGAGTGATTCTAGTTTATCAAAACTGGGAAGAAAGAAAGGCAGGTGATCGAATTCTGACTGGAACTCGTGTCCTCTCATTTCCGTTTCTGATGCCCTACCGATTTAGAATTCCGGTCTTAGCTAGCTCCGATGCAAAAAATCGTACGTCTACATCGTGAAAATTGAGAAGCGACACACTCACCAACACAGTAACAACGTATATAATAGTAACTGTAAAATACGGTATCACCTTGTGTCGGAGTTTTGTTTTACTAGCATTGTTGTTGTTGTTCTGTCATCACTATCTGAGGCTTTCAAAGTATAAACACCAGAGTAGGCAGTATTTGTAATATCTGACCGTTATAAATTGTACGGTGTTGAAGTACAGTTTCGTTGAGGTGCATTTCTGCAAAACATTTTCACGTATGCAGATGACGTATGATCAAATATATAATTTTAGTGTGCAACGGCACTGGCGATATGCATTTTTAATGGCGAGTTTGAAAGAGAGGTATGTTATTGCGTACTTTTATGAAAAAAGTTTTTTCGCATGTCGTCGTAAATTTTACAGGTCAATTTGCAAGCGCTCGATGCGCTTTCGTCGGTGTGCTTATCCGCTAAAAGTCGTTGGGCTGCCAACACTGCTTCGTTGTTCTGCGCTTCCATAAACGCATGGGCCTTTCTGCTGTTAAAAGCCAGTTCGCATTATCTACAAGAAACACTGAAGCAGTGAGTAACGAACTTTTGCTTTCGTTTTCTTTTTCACTTCTTCTTCCTCATCAACTTGTGTTATGCACTTCACTTTTTTATTTTCTTTCGTTTTTGTTTCTTTTTTCCTCTTTCCTTCCAAATTCATTTTTCGCTTCCTTCCCTCGGCTTGGATTTCATAATGCCTCATCGTTATTATGACGTTCTTACAGTCGACGGGGACCGATGTGTCAATGAGAAGATTGTCCTCAGACCACCGCATTGTCGAGTCAGAGGTGAAACATTGGTATAGTAGTTTGAATTCATATTTCTTCTGGTTGGCGGTCCTTTTTTACTATGTCTCCTTAGAGCAACTGATGCGTATTGCGCGGTAGAACAGCCGCGTTACTTTGATGTTAGCAGGTGGCTACTTGTGTATCAGGAACTGCTATTGTCATCTACGGAAAGCTAATTAGTCTACCGGTTGAGTAGTGGCAGTTGCTTTCCCACTCCACCACGTGGTAGCTATAAAATCCAAGCAGGATTCTATAATAATCCATCGCCTTGTTGGCTGACCGTTTTGGGGTTGTTCTCGACAAACCTTTATCGCCACCGTAATTGGTAAAAGGGAGCATGTTCTTCCGTACTTCATTTTACCGAGCAGTTCTTTACTTTGATCGTTTTTCGCTTTCGTAGCAACAACGAAAAATTGGCTTATTTCAGAGAATAAGGATTCTGTTATACAGTAAACTTTTTTTAAATGCAACTTTTTTATACCCCCTTTTCTTAGGGTATACAACAGATCCAGTCATGTTGACTTTGACGTTAACTAGCGGTAGGAAAACTCATTCATTAAATTTGTTATCAGATTTTGAATGGTCAGTGATGTCGAACGGTGTCCTTCGATTGATAAATAAAGCATACGCTAATAAGAAAGCGTGAAACGTCACATTCTCCTTTAGGGATATCGCTCGAGTCTGTGCCTATCTGGAAAATAGCCAGCTCGAGGTTCGCATCGTTGCTGGTGAGACTCTGGCACTGTTGTATGAAATGGCGCGCGATGTGTACGGTGAAGACTTTCGACCAGCGAACCATCGAAGCACGTTACTGGAGCTTCAGAACATGTCCACTGACTCAGTGAAGTATCGCGCTAAGAGAGATCGTCGGTTACAGCGAGCCAGTTTCCGGGAAATTATGTCAGGGATCAAGGTAGACGGCGGAATTCTGTTTAAGATTGATATGTGTCAGGCGCTTAATTATTTTTTACCTCAAGACTGGTAGAGGTTAAAGGTTGGGACACGGGTTAGTATGCTGTATCTGTCGGAATTGACAGGTATGTAGGTTATCGAAGACTGGTCATTTAAAATAGATGGAGATTTGCTGGGTAAGGTTATAGATGCACCAGAATGTTACTTTCAAATCTGTCATGCACCGTTCGCGGTGTCTTCAGGGAAAATAGAAACTTATGGGTTTTTTGTGAGGTGATTCGTCACTTGTTATTATTTATAACCCTAGTAATATTCCCCCATAAACTAGTTGTAGACACCGTCGTAAGTTGTTAAAGTACACTATACACTATACATCATATATATATATAGATCACTGAGATTAGAGAAAATCAGAAGAAACCGTTCTCGGTATACACAAATAACCTTAAATTTTAGCCTTAATTATTAGTGTAACATATTTTATATATACATATAATCTTAATCATGTCTGCAAGCCTCCTTCTGTGTACCTTTACTTTTGTTTCAGGATGGCACGTCTCCAGAAGTACAAGTTAAGTTTGGTGTGGAGACTTTATTCATTGACTCATGGAGCTCAAAGCTTTGTTATAATATGATATGCCATGTTTTGGGCAGTGGGATGAATATTCATCTGAAGGTTAGTTCCGT